TGTGGTGTGTGGTGTGGGGCAGGTTGTGGTGTTTGGTGTGGGGCAGGTTGTGGTGTGTGGTGTGGGGCAGGTTGTGGTGTGTGGTGTGGGGCAGGTTGTGGTGTGTGGTGTGGGGCAGGTTGTGGTGTATGGTGTGGGGCAGGTTGTGGTGTGTGGTGTGGGGCAGGTTGTGGTGTGTGGTGTGGGGCAGGTTGTGGTGTGTGGTGTGGGGCAGGTTGTGGTGTGTGGTGTGGGGCAGGTTGTGGTGTGTGGTGTGGGGCAGGTTGTGGTGTGTGGTGTGGGGCAGGTTGTGGTGTGTGGTGTGGGGCAGGTTGTGGTGTATGGTGTGGGGCAGGTTGTGGTGTGTGGTGTGGGGCAGGTTGTGGTGTGTGGTGTGGGGCAGGTTGTGGTGTATGGTGTGGGGCAGGTTGTGGTGTGTGGTGTGGGGCAGGTTGTGGTGTGTGGTGTGGGGCAGGTTGTGGTGTATGGTGTGGGGCAGGTTGTGGTGTGTGGTGTGGGGCAGGTTGTGGTGTATGTTGTGGGGCAGGTTGTGGTGTGTGGTGTGGGGCAGGTTGTGGTGTCTGGTGTGGGGCAGGTTGTGGTGTGTGGTGTGGGGCAGGTTGTGGTGTGTGGTGTGGGGCAGGTTGTGGTGTGTGGTGTGGGGCAGGTTGTGGTGTATGGTGTGGGGCAGGTTGTGGTGTATGGTGTGGGGCAGGTTGTGGTGTGTGGTGTGGGGCAGGTTGTGGTGTGGGGCAGGTTGTGGTGTGTGGTGTGGGGCAGGTTGTGGTGTGGGGTCAATATACGGTGTATAATTATATAATATAAGGCTGGGTGTGGTATGTGGGGCAGTGTGTGGCGTGTAATGTGAACATACACATGGGTGAGGTTACACACAGACAGGTGAGAACACACCTGACGCCGATTGACACACATGAAACACCTGACTATAGTACGCCATAGTCTGTACTCCCCTGGTTGTTCTTGTGCGAGTTGAGCTTCGGCTGTGTGGTGGGGGCGTGCACGAGTGGCTGTGTGGTGGGGGCGTGCAGGAGTGGCTGTGTGGTGGGGGCGTGCAGGAGTGGCTGTGTGCTGTGTGTGGGGGCGTGCAGGAGTGGCTGTGTGGTGGGGGCGTGCAGGAGTGGCTGTGTGGTGGGGGCGTGCACGAGTGGCTGTGTGGTGGGGGCGTGCAGGAGTGGCTGTGTGGTGGGGGCGTGCAGGAGTGGCTGTGTGGTGGGGGCGTGCAGGAGTGGCTGTGTGGTGGGGGCGTGCAGGAGTAGCTTGTGGTGGGACGTGCAGGAGTGGCTTGGGGTGGGACGTGCAGGAGTGGCTTGGGGTGGGGCGTGCAGGAGTGGCTTGGGGTGGGGGCGTGCAGGAGTGGCTGTGGGTGGGGCGTGCAGGAGTGGCTGTGTGGTAGGGCGGAGTGGCTGTGTGGTGGGGGCGTGCAGGAGTGGCTGTGTGGTGGGGCGTGCAGGAGTGGCTTGTGGTGGGGCGTGCAGGAGTGGCTTGGGGTGGGACGTGCAGGAGTGGCTTGGGGTGGGACGTGCAGGAGTGGCTTGGGGTGGGGCTTGCAGGAGTGGCTTGGGGTGGGGCGTGCAGGAGTGGCTTGGGGTAGGGCGTGCAGGGAGTGGCTGGCTGGGGTAGGGCGTGCAGGAGTGGCTTGGGGTAGGGCGTGCAGGAGTGGCTTGGGGTAGGGCGTGCAGGAGTGGCTTGGGGTAGGGCGTGCAGGAGTGGCTTGGGGTAGGGCGTGCAGGAGTGGCTTGGGGTAGGGCGTGCAGGAATAATTTGATCTCCCAGATAATGTCAGAGATAAGTCAAGGCACGAGAGCAAGACATAAATATATAGTTCGTGTCCAGCATAAATTGACAGGTTTGTTATAGGAAGAAAAAGTATAAGCAGTATTAATGTTATATACATTAATTATGATTCAGCTCTAATTATGTGGCATATAGACAGAAGTTGATGGCATTTTGTGATGCTCCTCCGCATCTCCCGCTCTCACTATCGTCTCCGGAAGGTTAGACATTAGTGCGAGGGGAGAAGGGAAGTGAGAGAGTGAGGGGAGGCCACGACGATACAGGTGTGTGTGTGTGTGTGTGTGTATATATGCATGTATGTGAACTATATGCCACAGTTGTAAGGCCGGAGGTGTCTCTAGGTCTCTCCTCTCACAGCTACCCAAGAAATATTTATTTCCTTCAGAATTATGCGCTACCAGAAATGTTAACTAAATATCCAAAGTTTGTGTACTGTAAGCCGTACCTGCATATGATTGTAAGCTTTCTACCGGCGCCCATTGGTTGTGTTGGTGCATGATTAGCATGTATGTAACTGGCTCACCACAGTGGTTAATTGCTCGGCTTAGTCGTGTAATTGTCCTTGACCCAATTATGCTATAAAAGACTATTTATACACATTAAGGTTTGTATCTCGTCAATCAAGATTATAACGTGCTTAGCTAAATTAAATTTGGAGTTCAATTCCTCTGTCTCTGTGATTCTTTCCACTACAGGTATATTCCACAGGATGTGCATGGGGGCCATTTAGGCCCACAGGATGGGCACGGGGGCCATTTAGGCCGACAGGATGGGCATGGAGTCCATGCACATCCACAGGATGGGTATGGGGTGTATAATAAAATAAATAAAACTAGCTCTGACCCTCCCTCCCCCCAGCGTCTCCCCGAGTGGGCGGGTCATGCCCTCTGCCCTTGGCGGGTATCACTCAAGGTCGTCACGCTGCCCACCTCACACCCTCCTCCCTCACATACCATCGCCCTCATGCTCGTCTTAATTTTAGAGGAGAGTAAAGAAGGTGGAGAGGTGCATGTGAAGGAAAATTGTTGATGTGGAATGTAGTGAGTTGTGGCAGCAGGCGGGTCGCCCGCCTTACTGACACTGTTTGGTAGCTAAGCTTACTCTCTCTTGTCAGGAAGCTGTGAGTGTAAGGTTTGTCTCCGGTATTTCAATATGGGCGTGTTGTCGCAACACCCAGACAGCCCGTCCTCTCACCTGGTTCCCTTCAGGCCTGTGTTTCTTTCCCCAGGCAGTGTTGCTGCATGACCTGGGAGGGAAGGAGGACGGGAGGGCGGCAGAAGTGTCAGTGGAGGGAACATGAGGCACGGAGGGAACACTGGTGCCTTAGACTCTTGTCTTGGGGTAGACGTGTTCTGGTCGTGGCTACTGATACACTCATTCGCCGTGTTTTCTGCTTAATGATGTATAGACTCGACGCTGGCGCCGCACGTTCTACAATTAGTCTAGCACATGTATCATACGGGACCCTGAACGACGCCTTGTTCAGGTTTGTGTTGATGTGCCGTGCTTGTGGAGCTGTTAGCACCAGTGGATGTGGGCTCCAGGAGTCAGGTTGAGTGCTTGTCAACCCCCCAAGGTCGTCTTTTGTAAACTGCAGGAGGGTTTCTGCTCCCATTGGATACCATATGTATGGCCTCCGGGTCCTCCCCACATAGATATATTACTTGTCACTTGCTGCACTTAAACTTTAGTAGCCATATTTACTCAGCTTTGTCCAGCGCGAATTGTAGCGTGTTTTCCTCCATATTCATCCTGGTCACGCGGTGTGCGGTCAGCAACATTATGGGAAGGGGTCCCCTAGTGACTGCCAAGAACAAGAGAGACCCTGAGGCTGGCCCCTGGGCGACCCCGCTGGCAACCTCCCGCGCTCTAGCGGCCTGTTGTTGCTTACCTACTCTTACCAAGTGCGCGCCTCGCCTAATGTTGTCTGTAGCTCTTGGGCTCTGCCTTCAAACTCTAACGGGAGAACATCGCCAAGAACTGTTTTTAACCTTTACAAATTGTTAAGTAACAAAGATTTTTAGGAGTCGAGCTTGACTTGACTCGTAGTAATCATAATACGTTGCTTCATAATACGTATTTTCATTCCCCCTCTGGCTGCTGTTGTGCCTCGTAGGCCAGCCTGGCCTGGGCTCTGTGGAAGGCTCTCTGGTACATACATGTGATCTTATTTAACAATTTATCCGTAAGAATTTGCTCGACAGTGAGAGAAGTTTAGCGAAAGATAGATAACAGTTCTCAGGGAGTTTAGAAGCGAGCGAGAGGGAGCAATACTTGGGAAGGAGCAGCGGGGGGGGGGGGGGGGGGGTAGGGTCAGGAGGGACACCATCTCGGCCCGTGTTTACCCAGCTGTAGGTGGTGGAGCAGGCCACACCATTAATACGGATAGTGTGTCACCATGATGGTGGTGTGTGATGCTAGTGTTGGTTGGCATGCTGGGGTTGTTGATCGTGTACGGTACTGGCGATGATGTGGAGCCGCGCACAACACTCCGTCTCCCCTCATCCCCCGTCAATTAACTGTCAAATCACTCAGAGTATCGCATCAGTTAGGTTATCTTGCCAAATTCAGCCTCATAGTTTGACCATGTCTACGGTCCCTGGTGTAGTAAGATACGGAGAGGAATAGTCTAGGACTCCAGGTGGACAAGGACAGCATCTTTAATGTGAAACAGTAAGGGACGAGACGACACACATTTGCTGGAAACGCAAATAAATCGAAGAAATATAAGGAAACACTCGTATCCTGTACGAGTCGTTAACAAGTGTAAAACTTCGAGATAAGTGGTGTAAGACGCCGTCCTTCTCAGTCTTCAAGGCCACACAGCTACAAACACTTGCAACATTAATAACATTTAAATAAACAGTCTAGAAACCAGAAGGCTTAGTAGGCGGGGCACATAGAACTAGACCTCACCTCCCGTAGTGACTGTTAGGTAAGCAGTGATAGGTGGAGTGTAGCTTCTGTAAGGTGGTAAGGTAATGTTGGCGTGCGGGGTCATGACCTGCAGGTGACCTGGCTTGACCATGTACGGAACACTCCTCACCACACCTCAAGTACCAGCATTAAGGAGCTCCACCCAAGTGTTAGGATTACAGAGGATATATCGTGTTGAATAATGTTTTGTTGTTTATTATTTTCTCGTGCACCTGCGTGCTTGTACTGGTGGTGGCGCTGCTGAGTGTTGGTAATGTGTGGTGTTGCAGGTGACGCAGGAGGAGGTGGACCGGCTGGTGCAGGCGGAGGTGCTGCCCCCCGAGGCCTTCCACAAAGACTTCTGCTCCTTCAAGTGAGTTCCAAGTTGCTTGTATGACTGAACCCCACACACTGTAGCCTGCCCCTGTCACTCGTCTCCCTCCCCCCTCCCCCCTCCAGGGCCACTGTACCCTCCCTCTCCAGGGCCACTGTACCCTCCCCTCCAGGGCCACTGTACCCTCCCCTCCAGGGCCACTATACCCTCCCTTCCAGGGCCACTATACCCTCCCCCTCCAGGGCCACTGTACCCTCCCCCTCCAGGGCCACTGTACCCTCCCCATCCAGGGCCACTGTACCCTCCCCTCCAGGGCCACTGTACCCTCCCCTCCAGGGCCACTATACCCTCCCTTCCAGGGCCACTATACCCTCCCCCTCCAGGGCCACTGTACCCTCCTCTCCAGGGCCACTGTACCCTACCACCTCCAGGGCCACTATACCCTCCCCCTCCAGGGCTACTGTACCCTCCTCTCCAGGGCCACTGTACCCTCCCCCTCCAGGGCCACTGTACCCTACCACCTCCAGGGCCACTATACCCTCCCCTCCAGGGCCACTGTACCCTCCCCTCCAGGGCCACTGTACCCTCCCCTCCAGGGCCACTGTACCCTCCCCTCCCCTCAAGGGCCACTGTACCCTCCCCTCAAGGGCCACTGTACTCCATGGCCACTGTACCCTCCAGGGCCAATGTACCCTCCCTTCCAGGGCCACTGTACCCTCCCTTCCAGGGCCACTGTACCCCCCAGTGCCACTGTACCCTCCTCTCCAGAGCCACTGTACCCTCCCCTCCAGGGCTACTGTACCCTCCCCTCCAGGGCCACTGTACCCTCCCCCTCCAGGGCCACTGTACCCTCCCCTCCAGGGCCACTGTACCCCTCAGGGCCACTCTACCATCCCCTCCAGGGCCACTGTACCCTCCCCTCAAGGGCCACTGTACCCTCCCCTTCAGGGTCACTGTACCCTCCCCTCCAGGGCCACTGTACCCTCCCCCTCCAGGGCCACTGTACCTCCCAGGGCTCTGTACCCTCCTCCAGGGCCACTGTACCCTCCCAGGGCCACTGTACCCTCCTCAGGGCCACTGTACCCCCCAGGGCCACTGTACCCTCCCTCAAGGGCCACTGTACCCTCCCCATCCAGGGCCACTGTACCCTCCCCATCCAGGGCCACTGTACCCTCCCCATCCAGGGCCACTGTACCCTCCCCATCCAGGGCCACTGTACCCTCCCCATCCAGGGCCACTGTACCCTCCCCATCCAGGGCCACTGTACCCTCCCCTCCAGGGCCACTCTACCGTCCCTCCAGGGCCACTGTACCCCCCTCCAGGGCCACTGTACCCTCCTCTCAAGGGCCACTGTACCCTCCCCTCCAGGGCCACTGTACCCTCCCCTCCAGGGCCACTGTACCCTCCCCATCCAGGGCCACTGTACCCTCCCCATCCAGGGCCACTGTACCCTCCCCATCCAGGGCCACTGTACCCTCCCCATCCAGGGCCACTGTACCCTCCCCATTCAGGGCCACTGTACCCTCCCCAGGGCCAGGTACCCTCCTCCAGGGCCACTGTACCCTCCCCTCCAGGGTCACTGTACCGTCCCCCTCCAGGGCCACTGTACCCTCCCCATTCAGGGCCACTGTACCCTCCTCCAGGGCCACTGTACCCTCCTCCAGGGCCACTGTACCCTCCCCCAAAGGACCACTGTACCCTCCCCTCAAGGGCCACTGTACCCTCCCCTCAAGGGCCACTGTACCCTCCCCTCCAGGGCCACTGTACCCTCCCCTCAAGGGCCACTGTACCATCCCTTCCAGGGCCACTGTACCCTTCCAGGGCCACTGTACCCTTCTCTCCAGGGCCACTGTACCCTCCCTTCCAGGGTCACTGTACCCTTCCTTCCAGGGCCACTGTACCCTCCCCTCCAGGGCCACTGTACCCTCCCCTCCAGGGCCACTGTACCCTCCCCACCAGGGCCACTGTACTCCCCAGGGCCACTGTACCCTCCTCTCCAGGGCCACTGTACCCTCCCCTCCAGGGCCACTGTACCCTTCCTTCCAGGGCCACTGTACCCTCCCCTCCAGGGCCACTGTACCCTCCCCACCAGGGCCACTGTACTCCCCAGGGCCACTGTACCCTCCAGGGCCACTGTACCCTCCTCTCCAGGGCCACTGTACCCTCCTCTCCAGGGCCACTGTACCCTCCTCTCCAGGGCCACTGTACCCTTCCTTCCAGGGTCACTGTACCCTCCCCTCCAGGGCCACTGTACCCTCCTCGCCAGGGCACTGTACCCTTTCTTCCAGGGCCACTGTACCCTCCCCCTCCAGGGCCACTGTACCCTCCCCTCCAGGGCTATTGTACCCCTCAGGGCCACTGTACCCTCCCTCCAGGTACCCTCCTCTACCACTGTACCCCTCCAGGGCCACTGTACCCTCCCCATCCAGGGCCACTGTACCCTCCCCATTCAGGGCCACTGTACCCTCCCCATCCAGGGCCACTGTACCCTCCCCATAGGGCCACTGTACCCTCCCCTCCAGGGCCACTGTACCCTCCCCATTCAGGGCCACTGTACCCTCCCCATTCAGGGCCACTGTACCTTCCCCTCCAGGGCCACTGTACCCTCCCCCTCCAGGGCCACTGTACCCTCCCCCTCCAGGGCCACTGTACCCTCCCCCTCCAGGGCCACTGTACCCTCCCCCTCCAGGGCCACTGTACCCTCCCCTCCAGGGCCACTGTACCCTCCCCATCCAGGGCCACTGTACCCTCCCCATCCAGGGCCACTGTACCCTCCCCATCCAGGGCCACTGTACCCTCCCCATCCAGGGCCACTGTACCCTCCCCATCCAGGGCCACTGTACCCTCCCCTCCAGGGCCACTGTACCCTCCCCTCCAGGGCCACTGTACCCTCCCCTCCAGGGCCACTGTACCCTCCCCTCCAGGGCCACTGTACCCTCCCCTCCAGGGCCACTGCGACCCCCCATGGTTAGTTACGCACACCACATATCCCTATCCCGACTAAGGGATAGATGAGAAACTAAAAATATGCCCCTGTAAGGAGAGGCTCAGTCATTATGTTGGGACATACAGCCTTGTCTTGTCCGGTTTATCTTTTTATTACGGGGAGTCGAGCCAAGGGTTCTGTACTTATCAAAGATTGAGTATAATTGTATAGTGCCAATGACCATAATATTTATATATAAATTAATCACTCCAGTAATGGACGTATAATTCAATAAACTCACACATGTCTGTCTCTTGAAGTGAGCCACACTGCTCCTCCGCCCCGGCCGCCCCTCACAGTTGTGAGACGTGTGGACCATCAGTCTTCCTCACTATTCCTCATCTCTCACCTGGCAACTCCGTCCGGTCTGGCCTCGCCTTACTGGCCGCCTCTTCTAAATTCCGCTGTTAGCGTGACCAAAATATTGAAATTCCCGAAGTATAGACTCCGTTCCTTCGACTTCCTGTACCTGATTATGCTGCCGTGTGTGGCGGTGGTGCGGCGACGGTAGTGCGGCGGTGGTGTGGTGCTGCTGTGGCTGTGTGGCGGTGGTGCGGCGACGGTAGTGCGGCGGTGGTGTGGTGCTGCTGTGGCTGTGTGGCGGTGGTGCGGCGACGGTAGTGCGGCGGTGGTGTGGTGCTGCTGTGGCTGTGTGGCGGTGGTGTGGCGGTGGTGCGGCGGTGGTGTGGTGATGGTGATGCGGCGGTGGTGTGGCGATGGTGTGGTAGTACTGTGGTGGTGGTGGTGTGGCGGTGCTGTGGTTGGTGTGGTGGAGACTGCGTTTATTTCTACCAAAGACGTAGCCATAATTTTATACAATGGTCCCCAGAATATATAAATGTTCTTCTATATATAGTATAATGGTGTTATTGAGCACTGGAGCACAGACGGTGACTGAGGTGTTCTCGGAAGTCACCATTACAACACATTATGTTGCATTAGACAGTAACTCTTTGGTACAGGTCCGGTATATCAAGTGTTCCAGAACGTATATAATATTTACACAGTTGAGCATATCTCCACCCACAGGCTCTGAATTCAGTCAATATTATAGGAATTCTACAATGCGTTTTCTCTATCATAAAGTTGACACACACTATGTATAGGACACTTGAGTTTTGGGAAAGCTGGCAGGATACGCCTGTGTCCCAGGTGTATCCTGGCCACTGTAACATTGCCTTGCCGAGTTCTTGCTCTTAGTTCCATATATATAAACATGTCCTGACAGTATTCACAATAACGTTTAGTGTTGCGGCTTCCAAGTCTATGACTTTGTCAAGATTATCAGACATTTGGTCCGGTATTTGTTGTCACTGCACAGTAAACACAGTACTTTCCACTGTCTGCTACAGGCTGTTCTTGCGAGCGGGTCAGCAGTATCATGCTCAGCATGCATAGTATTCAGAGGAATTTAATCGGAAACATTTTCTTCGCTAGTTAAAACTTTTTTCCAATATTACTGTCCATTTTCTGTGTTATTACTATAGGCGTTATATACACTCTGAGTCACAGTATATAAATCTTCTGACTTTGTTTTTCAAGTATTCAGTGGCAAGATATATACCTGCAAGTTTTGTTTGAGTTGTTCTAGTCCAGTCATTGACCCGCTTCACTGCTGTGTGAGCAAGAGAAGACTGTTTAGATATATTACATGCACACCCGCTACACCTTCACCTTGCTCTACACAGCCGTCGGTATAGCACTGATACACATCGTTACCCACAACCTGACCACTCTGATGCTCTACATTAACTGAGTAACGTAACGTGTAAAATCTTAGATGCTTTTACGAAATCACTGCCAGATCCCAGTTATCCCATGGATGAAGTGGTTGACCATTAATTGTCTGGTATATATTTAAGGATTTGATGGATATACTATGTTCCCGTAGGAGTGTGTGGTGATATACGGGTCCCGGAGAACACACACACACACACACACACACACACACACACACACACACACACACACACACACACACGCACGAGGCAGAAACAAATGGGCAAAGTTTCTTTCATCCTAGGTGCCCCTGTTACCTAGCAGTAAATAGGTACCTGGGAGTTAGTCAGCTGTCACGGGCTGCTTCCTGGGGTGTGTGTGTGTGGTGTGGGGAAAAAAAAAAAAAAAAAAAATAGTAAACAGTTGATTGACAGTTGAGAGGCGGGCCGAAAGAGCAAAGCTCAACCCCCGCAAAAACACAACTAGTAAACACACACACACACACACACACACACACACACACACACACACACACACACACACCTACCTCGTCTCCCCCATCTTGGTCCTAAACGCCTCCCTCTTCCCTTGACCATCCACCCGTCCCACTTCATCTATATGAAGTTATTATTAATTATCACTTATACTGCCACACTAACCAGCATTAAAAAACATGTCACATCCACACTCTGCCCGCTGCCTCACACTGGTCACATTTATCCAGTCCTTAAATACACTCGAGTGTTATAAGCCTGACCACACTCTTACTATCTCACTCTTGCACTCCACACTGCTCCGTGACAACCGCCTCCCTTGCTCCACCTGTCACCCTAAACCACAAGGACCTCTTAAGAGTGAACAATTCTACTGCTTCACCTGTATTGATGGTTCACGTTGACGAGGCCAAGGGTTGGCACCACAACTCTGGAGTGATGACTGGCTCAGGGTGACCAGGAACTACCCCAGCGGCTGGGTCACTCCTGGTGGAGGCCGGTGTGGGTGGGTGGATGGCTGCAGTGTGAGAGTGGGTGGATGGCTGGAGTGGGTGGATGTAGGAGGGGGATATGTAGTGGGTTAGTAGAGTGAGGGGGTGTATCAGAGATACGTAGGTGGTCTAGGGGTGGATGTGTGGCTGTGGGTTACGGTACAGTATTAGATGTGGATGTGTTGAGTTGCATAAATTAAGCAACAGTTGCCGTGTACGATTAGTCCCTCCCGTCCCCTGCCCTTTACCAGTCTGATGAAAGTCTAGGGGAGCGTCCACCCGTGTTTGACTTACCACACACTGCTACCTCTCACCCACTACTCTCAAGAGAACAAACGGGAACACGTCTGACACTCACAGGTCACTCACGTTGTCTAAAAAAGCCAGAAGTCTGATCCTCAACCTTAATTAAGTACATTATCATATCTTTAATTATAAGAAACTTTACTTTCAATGTTTGAGAACAATGTTAGTTTTTGTTAACACATGTTCGGCCCATTCCAATCTACACTTTTCTTCTAATGTATATATGTGACTTAGTATATTTCTTCATTTGGAGATATAATTATAACTCTTCAAGCTTATTCTACTAAATATTTTACTTACAAATTAGTGTAGCGATACTACTGTTAGTTGTGGTGGCGAGGTGTGGGAGCTGGACCTGCAGGTGTGGGAGCCAGACCTGCTACAGGTGTGGGAGCCAGACCTGCTGCAGGTGTGGGAGCCAGACCTGCTACAGGTGTGGGAGCCAGACCTGCTACAGGTGTGGACACTAATGGTTGTGTTGTGTGTGGCAGGTACTTCCCTCGGCAGGTGGCAGACGCGTGCACCGCCATGGCCGTCATCTCCATGATGGAGCGTCTGGGAATGGTCAACAAGTTCAGACTCAGCAGGGAGTCCCTGGCCAGGTCAGTAGTCCTACCAAGTCCACTCATCTCAGCTCTAACCAATTCACAAGAAAACCAGTAGGAGCCATGCGGAGGATTCGAACCCGCCAGCCCATCCTCCCGTTAGGTAGCACTTATAGTAACGATGAGAACCATCTTACACATTGACGTAAAAGCTGATTTAGAAAGTAGAAATCGGTACTATAAAATTTGGATAAACTGGAAAAGTTTTTGTACTGATGTAAAGAAAACCTGACCTAACCTCCCTAGGTCTAATACAGGCAATCTGAGGCCTAATATTTATGTGCTATACTAGGCCTAGGAATATTTAAGTTTGGTTTTATCTTTATTTTTTTGGACTCTTATAAAGAGAATATTACCAAATTATGCTAATTGTCCACTACGACTGTGATACCTGCTTGATGGGGTTCTGGGAGTTCTTCTAATCCCCAAGCCCGGCCTGAGGCCAGGCTCGACTTGTGAGAGTTTGGTCCACCAGGCTGTTGCTTGGAGCGGCCCGCTGTATGTTCGATGGTGAACAGTTACAAAAAGTACCAACTAAAGAGGAGTACCAGGACACTTGGTACTCCCAAGACTACTACACCGTGTCCTGGTAATGGTCTAAAGGCTCATGGCTTCTACTGGTCTTTTCAATGATCACATTAATGTGATTTCACTCTGCAACCAATTCACAAATTCAATAATATATAAATCATCAATTAAACTGGGTAACTATAGCTCGGATTAATTTACTCTTGATGCGTTATTATCTAATATCAGGTGGATGTATGGGGGTGGCCTCCAGGTGACCAGGTGTTGCCTGGGTGGCCTCCAGGTGACCAGGTGTTGGCTGGGGTGGCCTCCAGGTGACCAGGTGTTGCCTGGGGTGGCCTCCAGGTGACCAGGTGTTGGCTGGGGTGGCCTCCAGGTGACCAGGTGTTGCCTGGGGTGGTCTCCAGGTGACCAGGTGTTGCCTGGGGTGGCCTCCAGGTGACCAGGTGTTGCCTGGGGTGGCCTCCAGGTGACCAGGTGTTGCCTGGGGTGGCCTCCAGGTGACCAGGTGTTGCCTGGGGTGGCCTCCAGGTGACCAGGTGTTGCCTGGGGTGGCCTCCAGGTGACCAGGTGTTGCCTGGGGTGGCCTCCAGGTGACCAGGTGTTGCCTGGGGTGGCCTCCAGGTGACCAGGTGTTGCCTGGGGTGGCCTCCAGGTGACCAGGTGTTGCCTGGGGTGGCCTCCAGGTGACCAGGTGTTGCCTGGGGTGGCCTCCAGGTGACCAGGTGTTGCCTGGGTGGCCTCCAGGTGACCAGGTGTTGCCTGGGGGGCCTCCAGGTGACCAGGTGTTGCCTCCAGGTGGCCTCCCAGGTGTTGCCTGGTGTGGCCTGGGGTGGCCTCCAGGTGACCAGGTGTTGCCTGGGGTGGCCTCCAGGTGACCAGGTGTTGCCTGGGGTGGCCTCCAGGTGACCAGGTGTTGCCTGGGGTGGCCTCCAGGTGACCAGGTGTTGCCTGGGGTGGCCTCCAGGTGTTGCCTGGTGTGGCCTCCAGGTGTTGCCTGGGGTGGCCTCCAGGTGACCAGGTGTTGCCTGGGGTGGCCTCCAGGTGACCAGGTGTTGCCTCCAGGTGACCAGTGTTGCCTGGGGTGGCCTCCAGGTGACCAGGTGTTGCCTGGGGTGGCCTCCAGGTGACCAGGTGTTGCCTGGGGTGGCCTCCAGGTGACCAGGTGTTGCCTGGGGTGGCCTCCAGGTGACCAGGTGTTGCCTGGGGTGGCCTCCAGGTGACCAGGTGTTGCCTGGGGTGGCCTCCAGGTGACCAGGTGTTGCCTGGGGTGGCCTGGGGTGGCCTCCAGGTGACCAGGTGTTGCCTGGGGTGGCCTCCAGGTGAGGTGACCAGGTGTTGCCTGGGGTGGCCTCCAGGTGACCAGGTGTTGCCTGGGTGTTGCCTGGGTGGCCTCCAGGTGACCAGGTGCCTCCTCCAGGGACCAGTGTTGCCTGGGTGGCCTCCAGGTGACCAGGTGTTGCCTGGGGTGGCCTCCAGGTGACCAGGTGTTGCCTGGGTGGCCTCCAGGTGACCAGGTGTTGCCTGGGGTGGCCTCCAGGTGACCAGGTGTTGCCTGGGTGGCCTCCAGGTGACCAGGTGTTGCCTGGGTGGCCTCCAGGTGACCAGGTGTTGCCTGGGGTGGCCTGGGTGGCCTCCAGGTGACCAGGTGACCAGGTGTTGCCTGGGTGGCCTCCAGGTGACCAGGTGTTGCCTGGGGTGGCCTCCAGGTGACCAGGTGTTGCCTGGGTGGCCTCCAGGTGACCAGGTGTTGCCTGGGGTGGCCTCCAGGTGACCTGGTGTTGCCTCCAGGTGGCCTCCAGGTGACCAGGTGTTGCCTGGGTGGCCTCCAGGTGACCAGGTGTTGCCTGGGGTGGCCTCCAGGTGTTGCCTGGGTGGCCTCCACCAGGTGTTGCCTGGGTTGCCTGGCCTCCAGGTGACCAGGTGTTGCCTGGGGTGGCCTCCAGGTGACCAGGTGTTGCCTGGGTGGCCTCCAGGTGACCAGGTGTTGCCTGGGGTGGCCTCCAGGTGACCAGGTGTTGCCTGGGTGGCCTGGGGTGGTGACCAGGTGTTGCCTGGGGTGGCCTCCAGGTGTTGCCTGGGTGGCCTCCAGGTGTTGCCTGGGTGGCCTCCAGGTGTTGGCCTGGTGTTGGCCTCCAGGTGTTGACTGGGTGGCCTCCAGGTGTTGCCTGGGTGGCCTCCAGGTGACCAGGTGTTGCCTGGGTGGCCTCCAGGTGTTGCCTGGGTGGCCTCCAGGTGACCAGGTGTTGCCTGGGGTGGCCTCCAGGTGTTGCCTGGGTGGCCTCCAGGTGACCAGGTGTTGCCTGGGGTGGCCTCCAGGTGACCAGGTGTTGCCTGGGGTGGCCTCCAGGTGACCAGGTGTTGCCTGGGCCTGGTGGCCTCCAGGTGTTGCCTGGGGTGGCCTGGGGTGGCCTCCAGGTGTTGCCTGGGTGGCCTCCAGGTGACCAGGTGTTGCCTGGGGTGGCCTCCAGGTGACCAGGTGTTGCCTGGGGTGGCCTCCAGGTGACCAGGTGTTGCCTGGGTGGCCTCCAGGTGACCAGGTGTTGCCTGGGGTGGCCTCCAGGTGACCAGGTGTTGCCTGGGGTGGCCTCCAGGTGACCAGGTGTTGCCTGGGGTGGCCTCCAGGTGACCAGGTGTTGCCTGGGTGGCCTCCAGGTGACCAGGTGTTGCCTGGGTGGCCTCCAGGTGTTGCCTGGGTGGCCTCCAGGTGTTGCCTGGGTGGCCTCCAGGTGACCAGGTGTTGCCTGGGTGGCCTCCAGGTGTTGCCTGGGTGGCCTCCAGGTGACCAGGTGTTGCCTGGGGTGGCCTCCAGGTGTTGCCTGGGTGGCCTCCAGGTGACCAGGTGTTGCCTGGGGTGGCCTCCAGGTGACCAGGTGTTGCCTGGGGTGGCCTCCAGGTGACCAGGTGTTGCCTGGGGTGGCCTCCAGGTGACCAGGTGTTGCCTGGGGTGGCCTCCAGGTGACCAGGTGTTGCCTGGGGTGGCCTCCAGGTGACCAGGTGTTGCCTGGGGTGGCCTCCAGGTGACCAGGTGTTGCCTGGGGTGGCCTCCAGGTGACCAGGTGTTGCCTGGGGTGGCCTCCAGGTGACCAGGTGTTGCCTCCAGGTGACCAGGTGTTGCCTGGTGGCCTCCAGGTGTTGCCTCCAGGTGTTGCCTGGGGTGGCCTCCAGGTGACCAGGTGTTGCCTGGGGTGGCCTCCAGGTGACCAGGTGTTGCCTGGGGTGGCCTCCAGGTGACCAGGTGTTGCCTGGGGTGGCCTCCAGGTGACCAGGTGTTGCCTGGGGTGGCCTCCAGGTGACCAGGTGTTGCCTGGGGTGGCCTCCAGGTGACCAGGTGTTGCCTGGGGTGGCCTCCAGGTGACCAGGTGTTGCCTGGGTGGCCTCCAGGTGACCAGGTGTTGCCTGGGGTGGCCTCCAGGTGACCAGGTGTTGCTTGGGGTGGCCTCCAGGTGACCAGGTGTTGGCTGGGGTGGCCTCCAGGTGACCAGGTGTTGCCTGGGGTGGCCTCCAGGTGACCTGGTGTTGCCAGGTGACCAGGTGTTGCCTGGGGTGGCCTCCAGGTGACCAGGTGTTGCCAGGGGTGGCCTCCAGGTGACCAGGTGTTGCCTGGGGTGGCCTCCAGGTGACCAGGTGTTGCCAGGGGTGGCCTCCAGGTGACCAGGTGTTGCCAGGGGTGGCCTCCAGGTGTTGCCTGGTGTTGCCTCCAGGTGACCAGGTGTTGCCTCCAGTGGCCTCCAGGTGACTTGGTGTTGCCAGGGGTGGCTGGCCTCCAGGTGACCAGGTGTTGCCTGGGGTGGCCTCCAGGTGACCAGGTGTTGCCTGGGGTGGCCTCCAGGTGACCAGGTGTTGCCTGGGGTGGCCTCCAGGTGTTGCCTGGGGTGGCCTCCAGGTAACCAGGTGTTGCCTGGGGTGGCCTCCAGGTGACCAGGTGTTGCCTGGGGTGGCCTCCAGGTGACCAGGTGTTGCCTGGGGCGGCCTCCAGGTGACCAGATGTTGCCTGGGGTGGCCTCCAGGTGACCAGGTGTTGCCTGGGTGGCCTCCAGGTGACCAGGTGTTGCCTGGGGTGGTGGCCTCCAGGTGACCAGGTGTTGCCTGGGGTGGCCTCCAGGTGACCAGGTGTTGCCTGGGGTGGCCTCCAGGTGACCAGGTGTTGCCTGGGGTGGCCTCCAGGTGACCTGGTGTTGCCAGGGGTGGCCTCCAGGTGACCTGGTGTTGCCAGGGGTGGCCTCCAGGTGACCTGGTGTTGCCAGGGGTGGCCTCCAGGTGACCAGGTGTTGCCAGGGGTGGCCTCCAGGTGACCTGGTGTTGCCAGGGGTGGCCTCCAGGTGACCTGGTGTTGCCAGGGATGGCCTCCAGGTGACCTGGTGTTGCCTCCAGGTGACCTGGTGTTGCCAGCGGTGGCCTCCAGGTGACTTGGTGTTGCCAGGGGTGGCCTCCAGGTGACCTGGTGTTGCCAGGGGTGGCCTCCAGGT